ATACTTGTGTTGTTTTCGATTTAATCTTTCCCCTAATCTAAACACAATGAGATTTATTGTAAACTAAGGGAGGAGACTGCATCATTTTTACTCTACATGGTATATATAAATACAGACTCATTACCGCTTACTGTATCCCCATGGTAAGTGATGAGAGAATATAACACTGTCTGCACGTTAAACAAGAGGCTCTCAAGAGCCTGAATCGCTCACCTGTATTTCAGAGGAGAAGATTTTTAAATGTTAGCAAACTTGAAGAACAAATTGTGTAAAATTGTCTTTAAAGGGCAATAACTCCTTAAGGGGTCAATTGACAATTTTGGTCATATTAACTTTTTTGTAGATCTTATTTTGCTGAACATTATTGCTGCTTGCTTTGTCAAAACTACAAATTTGGTGGCAGCAACCCAACAATGGGTTGTTCGATTCGTCTGATAATTTCAGAGCCGATAGATCTTGACCAATTAAACAATTTTACCCCATGTCACATTTGATCTAAAAGATTTAGTTTTTGAGATATAAGCCAAAAACTGCATTTGCCCCTTATGTTCTATTGTTAGCCATAGCAGCCATGTTTGTCGATGGATACAAACTTCCGATACAATTTATAAACAAGATACCCTAAGGAACATTTAGTTAAAGTTTGGAGTAATTGGCCCAGTAGTTTCAGAGGAGAAGATTTTTAAATGTTAGCAAACTTGATGTCTAACAAATTGTGTAAAATTGTCTTTAAAGGGTAATAACTCCTTAAGGGGTCAATTGACAATTATGGTCATTTAACTTTTTTGTAGATCTTACTTTGCTGAACATTATTGCTGCTTACAGTTTATATATACATGTATCTATAATAATATTCAAAATAATAACAAAAAACTGCAAAATTTTGTTAAAACTACCAATTCGGTGGCAGCAACCCAACAATGGGTTGTTCGATTCGTCTGAAAATTTCAGGGCCCATAGATCTTGACCAATTAAACAATTTTACCCCGTCACATTTGCTCTAAAAGATTTAGTTTTTGAGATATAAGCCAAAAACTGCATTTGACCCTTATGTTCTTTTTTTAGCCATGGCGGCCATGTTTGTCGATAGATACAAACTTCCGATACAATTTATAAACAAGATACCCTAAGGAACATTTAATTAAAGTTTGAAGGTATTTGGCCCAGTAGTTTCAGAGGAGAAGATTTTTTAAATGTTAGCAAACTTGATGAACAAATTGCGTAAAATTGTCTTTAAAGGGTAATAATTAACTCCTTAAGGGGTCAATTGACAATTATGGTCATATTAACTTTTTTGTAGATCTTACTTTGCTGAACATTATTGCTGCTTACAGTTTATATATATCTATAATAATATTCAAAATAATAACAAAAAACTGCAAAATTTTGTTAAAACTACCAATTCGGTGGCAGCAACCCAACAATGGGATGTTCGATTCGTCTGAAAATTTCAGGGCCCATAGATCTTGACAAATTAAACAATTTTATCCCTGTCACATTTGCTCTAAAAGATTTAGTTTTTGAGATATAAGCCAAAAACTGCATTTGCCCCTTATGTTCTTTTTTTAGCCATGGCGGCCATGTTTGTCGATGGATACAAACTTCCGATACAATTTATAAACAAGATACCCTAAGGAACATTTAGTTAAAGTTTGAAGGTATTTGGCCCAGTAGTTTCAGAGGAGAAGATTTTTGAAATAGTTTACGACGACAGACGACGACAGACGACGGACGCCAAGTGATGGCATAAGCTCACATGGGCCCTTCGGGCCCCGGTGAGCTAAAAACTGAGCAACGTCTGTTGGAGCGTAGTTATGAAAAGAGAAAACAAATAAAAAGTCTTTATTCCAATACAAGACTGGGGAAAAACACAAGTCACGTACAAAAGCTCAAAAATAAATATATATCTATATATTTATCAGGAAACTTCATTACATAATAACAAATATTTGTTCGTAAGAATTTTGGGGACTCGGTGGCCGAGTGGTCTAAGTTGTTTATCTACTGTATCAATAGCCTGTTAACACTGAGGTTGTGAGTTAGAACCCCGCACTTGGTCGGTGCTTTCGACTCCAATCTTAATTGACTAGGATTGCCAGTTTTCCTGAGGAAGATGAGTGGTTCATTCCGGGCACTGTGGCTTCCTCCGTCATTTAAAACTGGTCGCTATTAGTGCTAAAAGTGGTGTTAACACGAAAAATCAATCAATCAATCAATCAATCGTAAGAATTTGTATATCTTGATCATGTGGCATCTATCGTATTAACTGGTCCATTAAAAGAAAAATTAATTTGAAGTTGAGAAAATATTGCCATATACGGATAATACACCTACGTAATAAAACGTTCAGTATAAATAAACAATAAACATTAGCTCTTTCCTTTGTATGTAAGGTCAACCAAGAACGAAGGCATTCATCTATTTGCATTTTTAAATAGATATAAGAAGATGTGGTATGAGTGCCAATGAGACAACTCTCCATCCAAGTCACAATTTGTAAAAGTAAACCATTATAGGTCAAAGTACGGTCTTCAACACGGAGCCTTTGCTCACACCGAACAGCAAGCTATAAAGGGCCCCAAAAATGACTAGTGTAAAACCATTCAAACAGGAAAACCAACGGTCTAATCTATATAAAAAACGAGAAAAGAGAAACACTTATGAACCACATCAACAAACGACAACCAATGAACATCAGGTTCCTGACTTAGGACAGGTGCAAAAAAATTCAGCGGGTTTAAACGTTTTAATCGTTCCATTCACTGATTACAAACATGAATTACCTTTTCACTGATTTCAGAAGAAATATTCATATGTATGTCTAACCTTCGATAAAAAACAAAAACAACATTTTACATTTCATGCGTCCGAAGCACTTTTCTGTTAAATTTTTCTCATTGCCATTCCCTGAAGGGGGTTATTTCAGATATGACACGTTTTTCATTCATGCTAACATTGAGTAGGAAGCCCTAGAACTTTGTGGTAATTATTGTTCTTTTACTGATTCAGAAACGTAATTCTAGAATCCTGTAGGCAACTACAGAAAACTCATAAACACCAAGGTCTTTAATACAAAACAGAAATACATAATAATCATTGGGGTGTTAGGTTGATGTTATATAAACATGTCCTTGTGGTGTGAAATAAAATTCTTGCACGTCCTTGTGGTCTGAATAAAACGCTTACACGTCCTTGTGTTGTAAAATAAAATGCTAACACGTCACTGTAATGTGAAATACAATGTAGTTACCTGTTCTTGTTATGTACTAGATAGGATTGAAAAGTGATGTCATTATGATATATAAATAAATCTATTAATCTTCTAATATCTGACAATTTAATAGTCTACTTTCTTCCTTTAGATACGAAACGTGGTTTCTATTATCAAAACAGAAGAGGAAATTAAAAGAAAATGTTGTTGTATATATTTCATTAATTATGTTTTATTCGTTTTAATCTCCGCATGTTCTGGTGTTATTTGTTATCGTTGGTCTAAGCATGTTTTCGTCTAATTAAAAAGATGTGCTTGATAGATGATACACATGTATACTTGACTTTAGTTACTAAACTGTACACATTTAAATTGATGTGGCACGAACTCTTTGCAGTTTTTGTTAGTATTTGTTTGTTAATTTGTGGTATTATTTGTAACAGTATTAACATACCATTCAGCCAACTTGTATCATGTGTATCAATACATGCATGATATATACGGTTATAACTTCTCTAAAACAGAGCATTGTAGATTTTCCCTCGCATTTTTGCATCAAATTTTGCGAAGGGTTCTGACAAGATCGTGTCTTTGTGTAGTTTATGACGTAGCTGTAAGAAATCTGTTCTGAACAACATGAACCGATAGTAAGAGTGTAGGACGACATGACTTCAGATTAGGTTGAATAGTTTAAGTTTGCTTTGAGTAAATCAAAAGCGTTTATTGTCTTTTAGCTTTCAGCTGCTGATAATAATATAAAACAAAAACAATTATGACAGACAACAACCAACGACAACCACTAGACTACAGACGCTGAACTTGTGACAAGAATATAAAGGATATGGCATGGTTTAACATGGCTGTGAGCGCTCAACCCTCCTTATAATCTCTATAAGTTATTTTTTGTTTCTTTTGCTAGTTCACAGTTCGAGATTAAAAGTGAAAGGGTTGAGATAAGAAAAAAATAATTCAATTACACCACATGCTCAAGTGCCTGTCACAAATAAGGAATCCCACCAGTGATTATGTTTTATTTTAATTTATCTTAATGATTTTGTCTTGGAAAATTAAGTATTTAATATATTCACAACTTTTTTTTTATAATTTTAAACTCAGAGCGACTTAGAGCTTTGCTAATTGTATAGACATTAGCCTTTTGTTTGAGGGTGTATATTGACCTTTCAATGTATTTTGGTTTGTGTTTCCTTTGGTTGTTGTCTCATTTATATATACATAACAGCTCCATTTATTCACTCAGCTTTATGTGTATTTACCATATCCTATTAAAATGAATTAAACTAAAGTTAACCTTCATTATCTCTCTGCCCAATATGACTTCACCCAGTATTTGTTTAAGACGAAAATAGAATCGAACACGGCTGTTATAAAGACAGAAATGTCACGTCTTTTATTTTATCATAGCCATCTCCAGAACGTAACATATCCAAATTTATGTTTAAAGAATTGGTTTGCATCCTGAATGCTATTATCATTTTATTTTTTTAAAGTAATCGTTAACAAACAAGATACCACTATGAACCTGCCATTTTTTTGTAAACATCGGATGTTCATCGAATGTTAACTTTATTTCTTAATCACAGTTATATGTGTTTTTTTTCTTGCATCGGAAGAAGACTTTTAAAACTCGAAAATATCTTCTGTAGTGGTATCTAATTATTTGTGTTTTTTTATATTATGTTTTTGTTTAGTAATTTCTTTTCAGGGAGGAAATGTATATGCTTCCAATTTCGATTGATCTTCGTCATCTAATAAGGCTATTTCATAAGCATTTGTTGACGATTCATTTATATATTAACATAACATTAATACAAGATCTGTACATTCTTAACATAAGTAGATACAACGAAAGGCAATATTGATTTCAATATATTTAAGATTTGCAGTATTTAGGTCAATCTCCGAAACAACGGCGAGTATCCTTCATCAAGTATCATCTCCGAAACAATGGATATTGCTGTTAATCAAATAGCATGTCCACTTCTTCATATTATATGTTTCCTCACAAACCGCGTGATTGTTGTAACTGAACACAGATGACTGACAGCCGTACATTAGCCATAAAAAAATCAAAGACATCTGATGTTAGTTTAACAAAGATTAAATTCTGACGAAAGAACTACTAGAACCTCCGTTTCGAGGTTATTTTTCAATGTTCCATACTCGATTTACTAGTTCTCAAGCTCATTTACAGGACAGTTTCTCCTCCCGTCATCTGAGTCTTATTTCCGTTTTCGATCGGAAGCGTCATATACTGCGAGCATTCCCGATCTATAGGCATGCTTCCACCAATAAACATTCTTTTGAATGTTTCTCGAAACTGTCGGCTCATTCCACAATAAATAAAAAAATTAAGAGGATAACTTAGCAAAATGAAGAAATTGGACATAAGTGACATAATGGCGAAGGTTCGATCATCACAAATATTAACATGTTCGAATGTATTTTGAACAATATTTAGTATCATGATTATTCCCATTGGAAATTCTACCAATAAAAATAATCCGACAACAGCAACCAGCATTAATGTTGTACAGTTGCTGTCCTTTAGCTTTCTGGATTCACTCTTTTTGTTTTGTTTCAACAACTGCATTCTTCTAATTTGTGCCTGTCGCATTGTTAATATTAACAGAGCATTTAGGACTACTAAAAATGTACACGGTATCAGATGGATACATATGACACGGAACCAAAAGTATACATTGTAATAAAGATCCATATGATTCCTAACCCAGGGCTTAAGGACTCTAACACATGCATTTACAGTTTCATTTGGGTTTACATTTGAGGGAGCTTCAATATCTATATAGTCCTCCTCTAGGAACCGCGAAACCTGCGCTAAAGTTGCAATAGCATATATGATTGCTGTTCCTAATAAAACGTTTTGCATCGTACACCATTTACGGGCTTGGAAAGAATGACAAATATAAATATATCGCTGAATTGCCAGTGCCATTGTCAGCCATATTGAAGCCGTGTGGAATATTGTTGGAATATATTCTCCGAAATAAACGTAGATAACGCACCAGTTCAATGGCACTTTTTCCCTATAGTTTCCAAGTGAAAAAAAATAAATGAATACTGGTAAAGGGATAAGTCCAGTAAACATGTCGGACACCGCCATTCCGGCGAGAATTGCATTTGTTGGGGTACGCATATGTTTCTTTAGAAGCACCACAACGACTAGTATATTTGTAACCACAGTGAAGCATATTAAAATGGGTGAGAAGTATCCGTTTATTGGTACGGCATATTCAATAGGTGTCATTATCCTTAGATTCACGAATGGAGGTGTTCCGTTCGGGTTTCCTGTTGCATTTTCCGTCATCTTGGAGGTAACTATGGAGAATAACGGAACGTTACAGCTTAGGCATATCCACAAAACGATTTGAAATGTTGATTTTTTGACGTAGCAGTGTTTTTACTGTATAAATCAACAATTATAGTTATTAAACAACATCGAAATTTGATCTCACGACAAATACTCTGTAGAGATATTTTGGTTTGAGGTCTTAGACGTTGTCTTGTATAACGACAATCATCCTCATTATACTTGCTGTCTTGAGACAGTACTAGCGGAAACGTCCAAGTCTTATTCCATAAACAACTTCAAGCTAACATTTTGCCCTGCAAAGAAAAATGAAAGTTGATTGAGGAAAGGCATTGTAATTGACATAGCATCTAATCATCGCGTCATTATAAAAGTTCAATCAATAAATTTTTCCAAAAGGGAAATTCATCCTCGCTTTTAATCCAATATCTGTGTTCTTGAGGGGCAATTGAAATTGTAAGTTGGTGTGATCACGAATGAATTGAAATTAAACCGAACAATAACAGTCAAGTATGATTCCTATTGCAGGATTATTAAATTTTCAATCAACTTTGAATTACAAATTCTGAGACATTTCAAAATAACTAGTATTGAATACTTCCTATTTCTTGTGAATAGTATCTTTGGGTGGGTTAATAATGTCACTACGCAATAAATGACGTATGATCATCATCTTTGATATTGATTGGGGTTTTGTTATGTTTAAAATATAAAAAAAGAGGCGGAAGACACAAAAGGCCAATAAGAATTATAAATCGAAGAAAAACCGACAACATCATGGGAAAAAACGAAATGACTATACAAAGCACTACATAAAAACTAAAGATTTAGCCAAACAAATCTAACAAAAATCCGGTATTATTAATACTAATATCAGGTGCTAAAACTTAAATCAAATTTACTTTGTAAGTTATTTTGTAAATCCATTAAATGTAAAGTGATAGAAAACAAAGGATAAGGGGTATCCATCCATGACATAAAATCAGTCCATGCACAGCAAAAAAAAGTATAATATTTCAATACACCTTTCCGTAACCCCAATTCATAGCCACACACAAACACACGTATACAAAAAAAAATGCTTTCAATGTATTTCAAACGTTGGAAATAATTCTTAAGCTATGCAAATTGGTTTTTTTTCTTCTTACAAGAGAAGAACAGTGAGAAATAGAAGGATTTACTAGCTAATCTACAGTAGTAGCAGACTATTTTGGGCAGTACATTTATTTATTTACCAGTTTCGCTAGCCTGTTTTCCCATCTTTATAGTTAATCAAACTAAAGATTCACAAAAAGTAATTAAACAGATAGAATATTAGCTTGTTTACCTAGTAATTCTACAAGTGTTTTCTTAAAGTAAAAGAGAAGTAGACAAAGAAAACCATGTTTCAGTGTTTAAGTAAAATAAACAACATATATGCTGTATTTGCACGGAGAAGCATCTTCAATAAAATACTTGTAACTATCTATGTTATTAAATAACACAAAGAGAAAGAGCGTTTTACTTGTCCTCTTCATTTTGATGATTGCTGACTATACTTGATAATTAATTGAAACATTTGACAGTCTGCGATTTTTGCAATACACAAATGATTGCATTATAACCCTTGATTCGTATTTTTCAGTATATTTGTATTCATCACGGAGTCTTGAATAACTCGTAGATAGACTTCATGCACATCTCTTATAATTGGAGAATAAAGGTAATCATGTTTCGCGACATTCTTTTATCTGTCCATTACCAAATGTCTATTGCTATGGTTTGTCTTTGTACTCCAGAGTATTCGAGCATGTTTTATGTTGAGTCATTACAAAAAATACACAAGTTGTTTTAGTGAAATTGTTCATAAAAAGCAAAACAGCTCATTTAAAAACATGAAGATTTGTTAAAGCAAATATAAATGACTTCTTTTATAAATGTTTTCCATTAAATGAAAAAAAAAAAAAAAATAATGGCTTTCTCCATTTGCCAATCAAACTTTTTCATAAAATTGAAGAAAGGATAGTCATCTCCATAATGTTCTAAAGCAGGGTCATAATTTACATTGATTTTAAGTTTCAATGTATGTACATAGGTATTCATAAATTGTCAAAGTCAAAATTTCATGTTCGATTAGGAGAAATGAACCGATTAAAATCAAAAATAATGATAATAAATGTTCCCTTGTGAACAACTTAAGTGGCGCGTATATATAAGAATATAAAAAAAGAGTGTTGTATGTCGTAAACATTATAGTGAAGAGATTTATTTAGGAATTATCTTTTAAGTATAATTTGTAGCATATTTAATATATAAATTAAGAGTCATTCCAGATTAAACATGGCTGTCGCGGCATCTGCAAAGCAAGCTGACTAGTGGGGCCAGTATTGTGCTTGACCAAAAGATTTGTTGATCATTGTTATACGTGAGAAATTATAACATGCTTGACAAAATTCGCTGTTTTAACCATGTACAATGCAAATTTGTGAGATTTACCCGCCGCCACTTTACATCAACTTCTATAGCCCGGAAACAGTAGGTTTTTGTTTCAAACGATATATGGGTTTGGCTTTCCAAAGACCCAAGAGTACCTGATGAAGTTTATTGCAGAAAATATTAGTTTATGCACGTTAATAAATCATTATTATGCAACATTTGCTCCATAATATCGAAAATAGAAATTCTACATACAGTATGAAAGTATAATTTCAGCTGAAAATATTTACAAATCTTGTGTCTTTAAGATACAGGTGTTTGATTTAAATTTTTCTGAACATCAAAAAAGCGAAAAATGCTTTTAAAAATATAGAAATGTTGCATGAATCTGATTGTTCTCAACAAAATGGAATATGTATGAAAAGAAGGTGGTGCAAATTCTCGATATTCGTCATGCTGCAAAATCGTAGTTTTTTTGTGCTCTTTTATAAAAATATCACAATGACCATTCAAAACGAAACGAAAAGAACGGGACGGAAAATAACAGGCACCCATTCCACATGCGTTTAGAATCTTATCATATTGTAAAAATAGAGCAATGTTCTATCCTTTATACTAATCTGGTCGATATGTATTTTAACAATGTGAATTCAGGGGTTGAAGTTAAATGAATTTATGCAGTTTTGATATCTTTCAATCTGCATTTCTCTTGGATCAGCAACAACACTTGAAACAAAACCAAGGGAAATAAAAAATATTGAAAATATTGAATGTGCTAAATCCGTAAGTTTATACATCAGTATTTTGTATTTACAAATTCTTGTCAGAAATTTAATTCTTAATTTCCACTGACAAGGTTTTTGTTTATTCTGATAATCCAATTGTGTTTCAGTCACACAAATGGAAGGTAACTTTCTCTACTTAATAAGTTACAAATGGATAAAACTGTGATATAGTGGTCCACACAGTCAAAAATATAGTCGAATAATATTACTTACAAATCATGTTTGCCATCAATATAAGACCCCCCCCCCCCCTCGAAAAAACATTAAAGGTTTTTACACGAGATTTAAAAAGGCAGTACTTTGGTCGCGTTTCTTTGTGAGAGACCCGAGCGTGATATAGTTAAAATCTAAAAATTATTTAGTATGCAAAATCGAATCGACTTTCTACTTCTTAGTTCTGTATTATAACATGTATATAGTTATATTCGATATAAATGTTATTTCGATAACTCAGATCAGTAAAGTCTGTTTGCATAAACGTATTTGTTTCATATTAAGTATAAAATCTAGCTACAACAAGATATTCTATAATTCATGTGGAAACTACATGCATAAATTGATACAAATCAAGTGTCTGAATGTTAGCATGGTTCGAAGCATAACATGAACTAAAAAATAAGTTTAGCATGATGAAAAAGCAAATTATAACACGGCACAATCTTAAACTGAAACTGATCAAATGTTATAAATGTTGAGTTTTTAGTGCTTTGATCTGAGATTTTTTTTATCACGGAGTCTTGATTAAATAAATCAATCAATAAATTATAAATAATAAGAAATAGTTATTGAATATGTTCTATATGGCAGTGGTGTTGTAAAGGTCTAAAGAAAGGGTATCTTGTTCTTAGAAAGACTCTAAAGTAGGAAAAGAATAAACATTGTTGAAGTCTTTCTTTAATTTTTGTTTGTTGTAAGTTAGTTAGTATCCATTAGTCTTCACGGTTTGTCGTCTAGAAATATTTCTTCAGCACAGAATCTGAATTAAGTAAAAATATTCAATATAAAAAATAAGGGATTATAAAATTTACAGAAAAAAAAAACCCGCTGCTTTAAAAATTCCGCATTATGAAAGTCGTAAACGCGACATAAACAGACGGTTTTATAAAATCTTTTTATATATATATACTTAGAAAACAAAAACTTGTATTACAGATTTAGAGGGTAGTTATTATCTTAACCTACGTGAAGACACCATTGTTTCTTTACAAACAAAATATTGTAATATCATAATATTTCCAACAAGACGTGTGTCTTTATCATTAAATGAAATATTCTTCTAATTATTTGCATGTTTTTGTCATCATCTTCATACACCCTTTCATCGTTTCACCACCTTTTATTAATCGATTCCGAAGGGACGATAATATTATTGTCAACAATAGGTTGATTAAAATTTATCTAGACAAATGTATTTAAAAATGTAACAACTTGTTATCACAAAAATATCATACTAATTTTGTATTATCGATTTGAAATATACAACATAATAAAATTTTCTTTGTTAATATATGACTTGTACAGATGAAAATTTGCGTCGATTTTATAATATAGTGAAAAAATACTCATACCTCATAGCGTTAGCATTTAATTATTCCACATGTTTTTAGCATGTACCACAAAATCCTATTAAATGATTATATTGAACTCTTTTTCATTTTCTTGAAGCTTCTCTCCCATACATAAAGAAAAACAAAGATTATTGGTCAATTAAGCAAATTTACATATTGGTCTAGTATACAGCGTACTTTACTACTAATCACCGACGCGCTTTTTAAATCTGACTTTATTTTCGCTTGATTGGTTCCAATCAAGTAGTTATGGGTTTGTTGTTTACACTTATCTTTGCACTTTGCTCTTTTTCTAACATTTGGAATCTGTAATCATTTCATCTAATAGACAAACAATGAGATTATACACAGATCATCAATAATAGAGTAGGATGGTATAATTGCTTGAATTCGGTGACATTTCTATGTATAAGAAAATTATACAAAGTAATTAACGGAAGCTGTCAACTCAACATGATTTTGATGAAGCTGACACAGAAATTTCTTGCTTTATGATTACGATGAAGATCATTACAAGTAAAAATTCATGACTTTCTTATTGATCTCGCTTTTTTATTATTGTGAAAAACATTTATGTCACTTTTGTCAAATTTTATGTTATGTGTTAATTTGTATTTATGACTTTGTTTAGAGATTAGATGTTAGATAATTTGTAGCAGGTGACACAGTTCTCCACACCGTCTTAATAAAAGATCAGAAATGTAATGCAATAATGGTGTTACATGTTCAATTATTCAAATCGGACTACAACATTTACAGTTTTTGTGTGTCAGAATCGTCACTTGATTTTGTCGACGGTTATATTTTACACACTTAAAAAAGAGCAAAATCTCTCACCACATTTGTCTAGAAGTTGAATGTATTAAGTCGTATTTACACGGTTATGGGAAATTTAAACGTGTCTGACCTCTCGGTCATTCTTCCTTTGTCTCAAACATCGCTCGAATAAACTACGTTAACTTTAATCTGTGATAATATCCTAAGTTACCAAAAATGGAGTATGACAAAAACAAAATAATATACAAACAAATGTAAAATTTCTCTTTTCCATTCCAAGTGCTGATTTTTTTTTTATTATCCTGCACCTTGAGTGCGTTTTAGGTTCTTCTACTAGTTATAGTTTGTCAAAATACGAGCAATTTTTCTAATGTTAGCTACTTTTTTACGCCTCGATTTAAGGACTGTTAAAAACGAATCCGAGCTAAATTGTTAATGATCCTTTTTGAAAACAAATGATTTTATTTTGTAATACCAGTTTTCTGTAATAAACTTAAATTCAATTTTCTTTATTTTTTAGATGCAAATTTTGCAGAAGAAAAGAAAAGGTGAACGAAAGATAATACCCATCGTATTGTTTGATAATTTTACATGATATATTTTGACTGAGATAATTAGGTTTCATGGACCCATCCCTCCCAAGGAGAAAAGACCTACACTTTTTTATTTGCTTAAAAAGTTTGTATATTAGAGTTTCCATATTTTCTTATTACATTTCGGGTCCTCACTTCTTAAAACTTAAAAAAAAAAAATGCTCTCGACTTATAGAAAATTATGTATAAAAAGTATGAAATGAATTACCAAAATTATTGGACCGTTCAAAAGACTAAACCAATCATTAACACCATCTACTTTGAAAAGAAAACCAGACGTTCAAACAAGTCCAGACAGAACGACTTGTAATACACAGGCGTACCATGTGGTTTGGCAAAACCATCTTCAAGTGCAAACAGCAACTACCCCCTTTTTTGTCTAATTAGACAACATATCGTTTAAGTATTATATAAAAAGAAAAAGATTTCAGGTTTATCGAGATGTGTATAAGAACTATCTGATACCTTAGAAGAGGTATTATATAGTAATTTACACAGAAGTTTTATCATTTTATTAGCAAAAAGTTCATATTTTTGCAATTAAACAAGAAAAGGCAAGATAATACAGGGATTCATATTTCCATACAAAAGTCGTGATAAGGTATCAATTAGATGACAGAATAATAGACGCTATTTAGATTTTATTCCAAATCCATTACTACAAAACATCTTCTGAAAGTATTACTGCATCTGGAAAATTTGAGATAATGATACTTTTCCTGTTTTATCAAAACTAATTGCTCTTTTTAGAACAAGAGAAAAGATAAAACATTTATTTATTACTTCTATGTAAATCAGATGTAATCGTCTCATATCTACGGGGCTGACGCCTCACAGATATAAGAAGCTTACATCTAATACATACAATGAATTTAGTCAGATGTCATATGTTAATTTCACTAAAATGAAGGAAGAATCTGATTACACAAAGAATTGTTATATAACTTAAAGCAATCTGTTTAGACTGGGTTTGATTATTTCGTGAGATAAAAGTGACGAAAAGGATAAACGGTATAATCATGTTTATACAATAATATACGACACTTGCCAAGTTGTGGATATGACACGTGCTTATACAATACTACACAACAGGTACCAGGATGGGGATATGACACGTGTTAAGACAATTCTACATGTTAGATAAGATAACTGGTTTGGGATATGACAAGTGTTAATACAACACTACATGACAAATACCAGATTGAAGATATGACAAGTGTTTCATATACTATACTTCATGACAGGTATATTGTATCAGGTTGGGGATAAGGCAAGTGTTAATTATATTACATGACAGGTACCCAGTTGGGGATATGACAAGCGTATACAATACTACATGAGAGCGTATAGGTTAGGGATATATCAAGTGTTAGTTACACTACATGACAGGTACCAGGTTGGGGATATGACAAGTGTTTCCTATATAATACTACATGACAGTGTATATTAGGTTTGGGATAGGACAAGTGTTTATACAATACTACGTGACATATGGTTACAGGTTGGGGTTACTATATGACAGGGTATAGGTTGATGATTTGATAAGTGTTAATACAATACTACATGACATGTACCAGATTGAATATAGGACAAGCCTACACTGCATTTTATATCACTTCTTTGAATTTGTTAATTGAGTTCATATTGCCAAGAAAAGTATCAAATTGGCTGTGATAAGTTTAGGGAAGGTTTAGAATGTAAAATATCAATATAATGATAGAGTGAAGATCAGCACGCAATTAGTCATTCACAAAGACGTGTGAACAGGTAAACTACAAACAATCTTAAAAAACCTGAGTTATACATATTATCAGAAAGTTTGCCAATTTTAGTTCAAACTTCCGTTTTCAGATTTGAATAGGTAATCTTCTTGGTAATATCTGTATATTGGTTTTTATATTGTCGTTTTTAACTTTTACTCAAAACATCGGGTCTTTACAAAGTTTTTATAGAGTAAATGATTCGTTTGGTCCACAGATAAATCTGACCTCATTGTATGAACGTTTTGTACTCGTAAGGTTAAACATCGTTAGTCTTGGTAAAAACAGACAGTTCATATGAGACAAAATTATGATTATTTTCATGTTTTCGGGCTCTGGTTATTATTGAAATATAAAATGTTTTAGAATACTTACATGCCCGTCATAGAACTTCTGATTTTCCTTTGTCATTCGGATTTATTAATATCTGTAAAATAATATACAGTATTGATTTACTATATTCAATACATGACTAAGTGTCTGTGAACCCGTTTTTTTTTTGTCTCAGTGCCATAACTATCTACCTGTACTCTTATAAAAAAAAACCCGAGGCTGCAGTCTGATTGAGGGTATCTAGTTAGAGACCTGATAGCTGTATGATATCCAATTACATTTCATAGTATAAAAATGTACAGTAATACTGATCTATATATTGTTTATATATATTTTATACATATATAATTTCTCTGCTTTATCAGTTATTGTCCAGTATATATAAATATACATTTGAGTGGGAAATTTAGTTTCTTTATAATTTCTAAATTTATAAACGGACAATTTTAGAAAGGCTTGTTATACATCATGTCATTATTGAAGTACTGACTACTACGCTGATGATACTCTCGGGAACTAATAGTCCACAAGCAGCGGTATCGACCCAGTGCTGTAAAAATTTAAAACAACAATTTCATGCGTCCGAAGCGCTCTTCTGGATCTACCTTCATCAGGAATGCTACAAGCCGAACATTTGAAAGCCAAGGGTGATGGATTTTAAGTTAACATTGATGAACCAACCCACAAATCAGTAGGGTAGTTGTCTCTTTCCAAGGGCTGCTTCCGAGCAAGGATTTGAAAAGGTTGAACACAAATTTTAAAAGATATCACCCATAAATCAAATTTTGGTCCAATTCAGAATTGTTAGTGTGACCTTGACTTTTAACTCAGTGATCTCACATCAACAGGATTCTTCTTCATCTAAACAGTTGCCGTTATCAAACCAAGTTTGGTATCAGTTGCACATATGTTTCTAAAGATATCATCCAGAAAACACAACTTAAGGATCACCAGTCCTTCACCTTTCATTTGATACCTTAATTACTAAAATACATTCTTCATAGTTTGATATTTACTATTTTGTTTTAAATATGTATACTAGTACTACTTTCCAGTATGTTCTTTTTTGACTGGGTCCGATTTGATGGTGTTACATCTTACAAAGTCTATCCGAATCATTTTGCAAAGAATTCCGCTCAACTGGTGCTAGGGGTCGTCTTAAACTTGCAGTGATTTTTTTTTTTGCTCCGTGTCGAAGACCTCATTGTGACTTTGAAATGAATAACAGCAATAAAAGCGCTATACCTTTGCTTTTTTGTGTTTTTCGCTGTGCATGTACCGATTGTGTGTCATGGATGGATGCCCCATAACCTTTGTTTTTCTATTACAATATCTTGGATTTTGATCACCTATTAAAGACCACCAAGTCTTTTAATTAAAACATTGGAAAATAAATATTTTCGTAAATTTCTCTCTCAAAAATGTTGATAACAATAAAAAAAAACCTGTTCCCTGCTACAAGAGAGTAATGTAACTATTAGGAAAATTCTATGGTAACTGGTACATTGTTCTATGGTAACTGGTACATAGAACATTAAAAAAAAATACATATTACATAATCATCAAAATAGCAAACGACTCTATTTCTATATTCTGATAAGAAGTTATATGGTTCTGAGACAAATTGTCAACAATAGTGATAAGCATCAATTCCAATTCTGGCAACATCGGTAGAATAGCATCGTTATCTAAGATTTAATTTACCGATCCATGACAAAGGCGAACGATGTTAAATTAAGATATTAATTTTATCAATCTTTAATTGCAATCCATCCATCAAAATAGTCAGATCGTGTCACTTTAAATAATGAGGAATGGTCTGGTTCCAAAAAGTAACATTTATAAAACAGGGAACAATCTGAATACTTTGTATTTCATTACGTAATTCTATTTTTATTCATACATTTTCTATAAATTCATCTCGATGAGATTTTTGTAGGTTTAGTCTTCTGAAAACCAATAATGTGTTTTACAATGCAATTGTCGGGAGGTTTTAGCAGTATTTGTTATATTTCTCTGCCAGTTATAATTTCTAAGTTGTAGATGTTACCTCCTGGCAGTGTTATTCAATGCACTGGTCTCCTCAAACTGGTACTAGGGTACGATTTACACTTGCAGTGAGGTAAGCGTTTTTACTACTCACTGTTACTGTAAGATGAACAACAGCAATTTTAAAAAGCGTTCCCAAAACATTCAATAAAGGGTAGTACCATGGAATATAACACTTCCTTGGTAAAGTTGATCAGTTCATTTTTGTGCTTAAAGTTACTTCCTATGCATTAGTATAACTTGTCTGTTGTGTTATGTAGAGACTAAGTAATCCATCACCATTCGGCGAGAAACTAGAAACACAATATATATACAAATATCAAGGCAAGAGACATGAAATTGCAACAAACAAAAACAAAACTGTTCAAATTGTTGATTGACCACCAAAGACCTAAATTGGTACTAGGTCTCGAATAAAAATATATCGCTAAAATAGTGATAAACAAAGTTCGTCGAATAAAAAGTTCAGACTGAGATCTTAAATTGCGGTTATACACAAACTATAACTTTAAACAATGAAACCTAGACAAAGGCATGAGTTCATAAAATTGAGAATGGAAATGGGGAATGTGTCAAAGAGACAACAACCCGACCATAGAACAGACAACAGCAGAAGGTCACCAACAGGTCTTCATATCTGTTTTATTATAAGAAATAATATTTTGTATAAAGTCATATAAACCATTTGTCTGACCCTAGACTCTTTGATAATAAGGGTTTGGACTGTATTATCAAAAAGGCATTTTTATCATAATATGATTCTACAGAGTAAACCCATTTATGTTGTTTGAACTGAAGTAACAATCTGTTGGCTTTTCGTTCACACATTGTTGTCAAAATCATGGAATTTTATGCGACTGTCATACAAGTGAGAGGTTTAGCTAGCTATAAAACCAGGTTTAATCCACCATTCTCTACAAAAAGAAATGCCTGTACCAAGTCAGGAATATAACAGTTGTTTTCCATTCGTTTGATGTGTTTGATCTTTTGATTTTGCCATTTCAATGGGACTTTCCGTTTTGAATTTTCTTGGAGTTTGGTATTTTTGTTATTTTACTTTTAACATTTACTTATAGCGCACTTCTGGGAATATTGATCAAATTACACACATATACATGCATATATTGTGATGCATTTGACAAGTAACGATATCAAATACAATTTCATAAGCACTTGGAACTTTATGTGACGAAACGCACATTTAGAGGTCACTGGAACTCGATTTATTTGCTATTGATCTAGTATGGATGCAACATTGAGTTAAAATTCGCTCAATTATTGTCATACGTTATGAAATAATGATGCATAAACCCGTCGTTGCTTAAAAGTAGCTGTTACAGTCTTGGTTATATTTGAAAAGAATATCATATTTCATAATTGTGCAAGGAAATCTGCAAAAGACAGTCAATCATCTTTTATGATCTTAGGTTGTAATAATTCAAACTGAAACTGTTTTACGTGAATTTATGCATTTGAAAAATGACAGTAAGTTGATACAAACAGATAAATACTTTTTATCATAAAGTAATTCTTTTATTATTTTTTATTACATAACAGGGCCATTTTAATTTTTAGCCCGTGACTTTTCACAACGTTACGAGTTTTGTTTATGGTAACCAATTTGTTTTTGGTTAAAAGGAAGATTATTTCGCTACATTTTGGCTCTTTAATTCGGTATAAGTGCTTTTGATGAAAATTACAAATTTATAGATTATTTGTTGCAATTTTGATTAAGTTTTAGTAACAATATTACATCATTTTTGGTAAGTGGCAAATAAACACTGATTTATATGTTGCTGGATGCGGTTACAGTTTAATACTTAATGGGATAAAAAGAAAAATAACCCAGGAGATGATGGAATAAAAATAAAATGGATTTAAAATATTACTTGAAAAGCATCATTATTACATGAAAATGACACTTGTGAATGTATTCCTCTTTATGACTATCTGTCATCTAACCAATGTAACATGTACTCTAAGACAAGATTGATGTGAATTAGAAAATCTAGCTATTGTGTTATAAAATTGTAAAAAAAGCAAATAATTGACATTAATGAGTCTACTATGTCATAATGTCGATTGAAATAAAATCATAGAAAGAACACGGAAATGAATCTGAAAAGCGCATGGATTAGCTTCTATTGAAAATGATAAGTACGGAAGCGTAATAGCGCCACACAGTTTTTATATTTCTTCCTATCTTTGCGTTATCGTTATAACGCAAACCTTTGCGTATACAACATCTTTGCGTTGTAACTCAAAACTTTGCGAAACAACGCAAACCTTTGCGAAATAATGCAAACATTTGGTTTATCTTATTTTTTATTTTGCCGCTGGACGTTAAGCATCCATCCATCATCATCACCATCATCATCATTAGGAGTTGCAACTTGTACTGATATATTATTTATTTAGTAATGAATGAAAACTTTGTTAAGCACGGTATCAATCACACCTGGATTGTCAACAGTGTTTGAGCAAACTTAAAACACTAAAACACATACAGAAACACAAAAAGCAAAACTTATGTATTAGGGAGCTACCATTTGATTTTTATGGGGGGGGGGGGGGGGGGGGGGCTAGGATGAAATTTGAAAAAAATAGGCAGGACAGGAGTTTTGAGTAAAAGAAAAGGCAGGATGAGATTATTTGCAAAAAAAAAGGCAGGATGACAATTTATGTAAAAAAAAGTCAGGATAAATTAAAAAAAAAAGGCAGGACCGAATAGAGTGAAAAATAAAAAGGCAGGACGGAATAGAGGGAAAAATAAATAGGCAGGACAAAATTTTTCATCCTAGCCTCCCCATAAAAATCAAATGGTAGCTCCCTTAGAAACTTTAAGCGATTTTTCTTCTGACAATTCAGAATTATTTTACTGAATCCGTACATATATTTTAATTTTTTTTAAATATGTATTGAAACGGTTAAAGATGAATACATTGCATATCAGTTCTAACTTTTTTGTGAATTTATTTTTGGAATTTTCCTTTCAGCAAAGGTGAAGGCGGATAGAAATTAATATATATCGCTTTTCAATTAGGT